GTGGGGTGGGGTGGGGTGAAGGGCAGGGGTGGTGTAGCCAGGTGAAGTTGCAAGCGGGTTGAGTCATTCGGTGTGTGCAGCGGGCGGGCGGACAGGGCTGTGGGGTTGCGGCAGCGCTCTGTGGTCAATTTTTCGCATGCCGGCTGGCAAGGGTCGCGCTCTGGCACTACCAAGTGTAGGCGTGTAGAGTTTGACGCCCGCAACACACGTGCACGCAGCCAGTCACTCACACCCGATCTCAACCCTCAGCCATCGTCACCCGACCCCTTCACCCCCCCCCTTTCACACCTACATGCAGTGCACTCATGAACTCGGGTCCGTGCACGTGCTCGCACATATATACACACATGTGCACGTACACACTGACACGCACACGCACACTTACATGTGCACGCACATACACACACGCAAACGCACACACGCACGCACACACACACACACACGCACCCACACACACACATTGTCACGCACCTGAAAGCGCCTCGAGAGCGCGGGGTCTGGCTCTATGTGCTGCCGGTACTCGTCCAGGGTGGTGGCGCCGATGCACTGCAGCTGACCACGCGCTAGCGCCGGCTTCAGCATGTTGGCAAAGTCCAGGCCGCCCTCCGAGTTGCCCGCCCCGACTGCGGGGTTGGTGGAAGGAAAGCAGGCGAACCGGTCGGCAGAGGGAAGCCGCACGAGGGGCTGCCGCAAGGGGTTGGGCATGAGGCCGCGTGGGGTGGGGCATCCAAGGGCAGTGCAGGGCGGGAGGCGCGGGCACGGGACCCTCCCGTGTACAGAAGAGTTGGATACCAAAGAAGTGAAGATTCAGCTGTTTGGCAGGCCCGAGGTTTTCACCATGTCGCACCCCTCCAAAAGTAACCTAGCAGTACGAAACCCCGTCTGTCTGCCCCGCCCACATAAACATGCACCCCTCACCCAGGACATGAATCTCATCGATGAACAGCAGGCAGCTTCCCCTGTGGGCCTCCAGCTCTGACAGCAGCTGCTTCAGGCGCTCCTCAAACTGGGGAAGGGTGGGGCAAGACGGCAACGTGTGGTCTAGCGCTGGTCAGTGTGAAGTGGACGGATGGGTCGGCAGACTGGAAAGATATAGCTTTGGAATGCGGTCGATGCAAATGCCGACAGGCATTTCAGACACAAACCCAGAAAAGAACGTGCGCAACCAGATCAGCAGGCACACGCCGCTCTCCTGACCCGCCCCTCTTGCTGACGCTTGCACCCAGGGATCTGCCCCTCCGAATTCCAACGGCTATCGCCCGCACCTCCCCCCTGTATGAGCTGCCCGCCACCACAGCAGCCACGTCCAGGGCAATGAGCTTCTTGCCGGTCAGCCTGTGAGGTGAATCAGGGTGTGCAGTTTGGGGGTGGCACGGATGGGGTACGGAAGTAGGTCGGAAAATGCCAGGGGTTCCACATGTGTGTGTGTGTGTGTGTGGGGGGGAGTCGTGTGTGCACGAGCAGGTTGCAGGCGCTGAGAATGAGGGTTGGGCAGCGGTACAAGAGGGTGGGCCGGGGGTGCTGGGTGGCAGAGGGTGGGGAGGAGTGAACGGGGCTAGTGATGACCAAGTGCACAGCGCCGCAGAGGGACCCACGGGCAAGCTGTGCAACCGCGAGCCGAGGGATTATGTTTCCAGGCTGGAGCCGGCAGGGTTGATCTCGCGCTGGCGCCTTTCCAAGGGACCCGCCCCGCCTCCGAATGCGCCCCACCCTCTGGGTGCGGCCTCGGGCTCCGCGATCATTTGGGCGATACCCTCCACGATGGCGGTCTTGCCCACGCCTGCGCGTTGCAAAGGCGGCCAGGAGGCGATGGATGTGGCGCGCAGGATGCGTCCAGTGCGTGGTGCGCCGTCAACCGGGGATGCCATTACAACACCCGAGCTGGCTCCAAGCCTGAGGCCCGAGCCCAGGCCTAGCGCCGATTGGTGGCCATGGAAGCAGCACGCCCCCGGCAGCCGCACGACCGCGTGCGGGCAGAGACGGCAGCCATGCATGCGTGCTTGCGTGCGCTCGAGCACACTTGCGAGTGCATTTCGCATGTGCTTGAAGGGCCGCCGAGTGAAATGCCTCTGTTTGCTCACCGGCCTCGCCGATCAAGATGGGGTTGTTCTTGGTGCGGCGCAGCAGCACCTGCTGTGCGAGGGGTGCAGCAGGGGCTGTGAGGCGCCGCCGCCCGAGCGTCTTTGCGGCGGGTTACACGGCAGCAGGGTGACCTCACCAAGCATCAGCCTCCGGGTGAAACTTGCCCTCATCAATGCATGTGGGCCCCACCCTGGCGCGCTGGCTGCCCACTGCAGACGCAGCCGAGCATGCCGCACGCAGGCCAAGCAGCAACCACTCCCAGGGAACGGCGGGGCCGCAGCGCGTCATCACC